GTGTTTTGGTATGCGTACGAAAGACATCTTCCTACAAAATAGTAAATTACTAATTACATACCTTAAAAAATTGGCCAAAATTGTATGAATAAGATCTGGATACATAGTTGTACACTTTCTCACCAAAATATTTCCAATTTATTCACACATTCGTAATATTTGCATTAAAAAGTACGATCAGTCGATTTTGTTCTACTCTGGGCATGTAATTAAAATAACTGTTTTCACTAGCTTTCACTTCCCAGAACTACACTAAAAACAATTACGACACGTGCTTCTACAAGCACTTTCAAGTTAATTCACTTTTAAAGATGATATTTACTTAAACAATATCATTTGCATCGCTAAAAACGCGAGCCGCGAATAATTTCGTAAGCTGAAACTGTTTTGTTTACCTTTTTCAACACACCACATTACGAAGGTGTGTGTACGAATCCATCTATCATCGTATCCAGTGTTGTCAATTTAATTGAAACAAAGTGTTTAAAAACAATGTTTTTATTGCTTTTGAAGGTTCTTCAACTGTGTTCAATTTAGAAACCATCACTAATACAAATTAAAAACAATTTCTTATCTTGATTTTCCTGAAAAGAAATGGAAGTAAATAAACCTACAAATCTTCTATGGAAAACATATTTGTCAGTTTGGTTGCACTGGTCGAAGCCATCAGCTGATATTAAAAAGGCGGGAAAAAAATGATGTAAAAACATAAACATACACGATAACAAAAAACGTATCTAGCGGCCAGTTCACATTTACCTACTTTCGACTTTGAGTATAATCACGATCATATTCATCTACTTTTGGGTGTATCTGACTTAATTTTGGGTAGAAAGCGAATTTTCAATTCCATAAGATTTAAACACAAGTGAATGAAAACTACTTTGACTCACTTTACCTTCTTTTGGCTTCCTGCAATAAAGAGTCGAGATGTGTGAACATAACTTACTTTTGGGTACTTTTTTCTTACCATGTATCTGGAGATTTAAGTGCTGGAATCATTTTTGGACCGGTCGTGTGTAACCAAAGTGAACAAAGTGTGGCTTTGAATTAATCAACTACTATGATTACTTGACTTGGTTGGCCTTGGTGGCTAGGCGTATGATAGTTTTCTGTATAGAAAGGGATGTCCTTGGGAGGTGGTAGATCGTTAATTTTGGCAAATTGAATAGAAATGTAGTAATGGTGTCAATTGTGGATGATAAATAGACATTCGACCTATTAATAACGAACTCTAGCAGCTATGTTTACGGTAGTTGTGACAGTGCATGATGTACACTCACACCCCTACAGCATCATTGATAATCATTTCACTGACACATAGAAACGAGAGCAAAAAAAGCAAAAAAGCGTGACGTATCGTATCACCTTAAGGTGTGCGGAGTTGAATACCCCTTGCACTTTCATTTGCAGTCGGGTTATTCGCGAAAGAGAAAATCGAAAAAGAGAATCGATCAACAATGATCGGCCCTTTTCTCGTGTTGCGCGAGGCATTCGTGTCGGTCTTCGGTGCCAGTGTTGTATGACAGAGCCTGTCAAATGACATTTTAGTTTGGTATTGCAGTATGATAGCTTGTTGTGCAAGTGTCGGAGGTAAAGGCAGTCGATTATCACAGCAAATGTATCGACTACCATGACCGCTTGCAAGACTGGCCCCAACAAAACAGATTGCTGTAAACGAGCTAGCATTCCACTATTTGCTGGAAAAGAACACCCAACAGAAATCCATTTTCCAATAATACTTTCACATTTTGTCCAAGATTTTTTTTTCCTATTACTCTAGACGTTATAATCTCAAAAGGTCCATTACCTTTATATCCTACATTTCGAGTTGGAATGTAAAACTTTTATCAATTGAAAAATACAGCTATATGAAGAAAGAAGGAATCACCTCCAAGAGAGAAATGGTCTAATGATTTCCGGCAAATATTACCTGCAAAAGACAAAGTTTGGATGCATAAGCTTATCTGCATCTAAAATTTTTAGGTGAGTCAACAGTCAACTCCAAGTTTGAAATTAATTTCTGATCATTAACGACTTGATTTTTTAAACTTTAACCTGTCAAAGAATAGCTTTCAAAGAGAAAATGATTTTGTGAGCATGACTGTTGAAGACGAAGTTATTGAAAAAAATATCTAGTACGAATCAGTCAACTCCAAAAGAGAAATAACTTTTTGAGCGTGAACTCAAGGAAAGAAATTATTTTTCAGCATTTCAGAGAGAGTTTTTGTTAAAACAAAATATTTGAAAAATAACAGCTCATGATATTAAGGCGAAGAGAAATAACTCGGATTGATTTTGATTATCGGATTGTTTTTGTTTTAATTGTTACCTGAAAAAAAAAACAGTCAAATTCAAGAGAGAAATGGTTTGAGAGTATTTCAGTTTGATTTTTCAAAAGAGTTTACCTGTCAATTAAGGATTCAACTACAAAAGGGAGTATTTGAGCATTTCCAGTTTTATATATTTTTTACTTTTACTTGTCAAAGAATAGCTCATAGCAGCGCCGGTGGTGTAGTAGCAAACGTGATTGCCTGTCACCCCAAAAAGGTTGGGTTCAATCCCATTCGGCGCCGCCAGGATTTTCTAAGGCATACAATCTCGGATCAAGCCACTAGGAAAGTAAATCCGTTGGTCTCCGGTCCATGAGTTGATGGGTCGATAGGGTAGGGTCCAGATGTGGGAGCTGCCTCCCTGAAACTTTAGACTAAAAGCCTCTTCTACAAAGTTGTTCCTAATAGTTAGGCCCTCATTTTTATGACAATGAGTTCTAGGGTGGTTCTTATTATCATTAAAATCAAGAATCTAACTTTTTGTTTGAAAAAATTAAAGTATACATTCTTCGGCAAAGTTATAGCTGAGCTAATTTCAAGCAACTTTGTTCAAAACAACATTTTTGTATCTCTTAAATTGGCTGATTTAGAGCTATTTTCTTGAATTGAGTTAGGGTGGCGCTAAAAAAAAACACTTATTTTGCTCTAGTGTTCTTGGTTCAAATTTCTCAGCAAAGGTGTCTTCGAATGACTTTTAGATCTTTAAGAAGGCGCAAATTTTTGCTGCAGAAAGTTTGTCATTATCTTTCGCCGATCAAGAGTTATTGACTTTTTTGTATTAAAAATATGCACTTTTCAAATGTTAATATCTCTGGTTGGGGCAAACAAAAAAAAAGTTTTTATACGGCATTTCAAAGAGCGTATGTTATTCTCAATAATATGACAAAAATTGGCGGTATTTTATTTTTTTAAACTCGTATAAAATCAATTCGAATTTATTCATTTTTTACTATATTTGGGAATATCTTTTTTTATTAGAAGAGATACAGACAACAAATTTCGCTATAAAACATTCGTTTAAAGAGTTTTAAAAGTTTCTAGAGGATGACTTTCATGAGAAATTTGAAATAAAAATGTTAGTGCTAAAAAACTATTATTTCCAGGAAATCCCTAAGTCAACTCCTAAAAATTACTCTAAAATGAGAACGTTAAGAGATAGAAAAAAAAATTAGAATTCATTGTCATAAAAATAAGGGCCTTACTATAAGAAACAACTTTGTAGAAGAGACTTTTAGTCTAAAGTTTCAATTTCAGGTTCAAAACATATCATTCCACCTAAATCTGCATTCTGGACCACTGTGCATTGGTACTCAGTACGGAAAACAAGATCGACAAGACAAACAAACCAAAGGAAAACATATGTATGTTTAAAGCCCTCTCGCTGACAGGGAATCTATTAGGATTGACAATGTAAAAAACACAATAATTTAAGCTACCAGAATCACCCAATACAATATATTTAGATACCTTGTATAAATTGGCTTGTTGTGAACATACTCGACCGTTTGACACATTTCAAAGAGGTGTAACCAAAGTCGCATTACAAATGCTCGCTAAACTATATCCGAAAAGATCCAATTACGATTAGAAGCAACTGTCTAGGTCGCAAACAAATTTCATAACCAATCTTGATTGCATCGATATACCATTGCCTCCCGTAACTGCTAGAATTGCAGATCCAGCACCTCTCACGCTCTATTCAATTAACCTCTCCCTGGGATCCACCAGTCAATTCTTTCGATTCACCTCCGAAGATATCCATCACTTACTTAGTAGGCGCAGACAAAAAAAAACGGCGATCGCTAATAAACCGCTGGAGCCATCAGCATGGTTCAATCAAGATCACGATCTCCGTCCATGAATGCCAGCATAAGCCTGTATCGTTACCGTCACCACATTTCGCAAGCGCCGCCATTCGGAGAACTGTGCCCAGACCAGCAAGCAACATATGCCAATAAATCATTCGAAATGTCTTCTCACTCTCAATCACCCACCTAACAGCCAGCGCCGCACAGCCGCACGAGAAATCGATACCGAATTTCTACAAACTGATCCTCTTCTCCGAGCTCTAGAGCATACGCGTTTTGCATTAACCATAGGGTCGAGAACCGCTTTCGACATCCTAATGGTAATCAATTTCAATTTTTCGGTTCGTTGGTCTCCGAGCTCCGCAGCATAGCACGGCTGGATCGATGCACTGCACATCCAAGAAGATCAGAAAGGCTAAATATTTCACACACACGCGAACCTGCTTGGCTCGGCTGGCTGGTTGCCGCTGGCTGACTGGGAGCGTAAAGATCACGATCTTTGGATCTTGAAAGAAGCGAAAAATCTCCCACAGAGCAACTGCGATTTTCGGCGCAGCTCTCGGAAAAGGGTAATTGGAGAGTGTTGTTTCTTGGTGATGATCGTCGTGCAAGGTCGTCCGTCCTAGCGTTCGGTTGATGCAATGCATGGTTCAGATCATCGGTGTGTTTGGACTTTGGAGCAGAATGGGAAATCGAAGGACGTCGATCGCACGACGACCTTCCGCTTCTTGTTGCTTGGGGATTGCTGAATGTTCTTGCCTTGAGAGTTGAATCCAGAATGAAGCCTCTCACTAATGTGATGTTGTTAAATGGATCGCAATACTAAAATTGGTTTTCTGTTTTCTTTTTCTTCTTGCAGGAGGGTAGTATAGGACATGAACTTGTGATAAAACCAGTGCCAACCGACATCTCCCGGGCGGAGGACGGTAGTGTTCATCATGTTATTTATAAGCGAACCGTGTCAGAGGAACACCACGATCATGCCAGTGATTACGGTAAGTATCGAAGTTACTTTAAGGGTCTTTATACTGAGCGTGTTTCCACCGGATTTTGTCGGTCGAGTTCTTAATGTTCTTCAAAGTAGAGATTGAGCTGAGATTGACTTCACAACATCTTGTTGAAGTATCTAGAAAAAATGCCAGTTAGGTTATTGGTTTTGCAAGATCAACGATCTAGAAGCTTTTTTTTTTAACTAGTTCGTTTATTTGGAAGGCTCAATCGCGTTAGCTTTACGGAGCCGATAGTTCATTGTTCTTTGTTTGTAACAAAATTCACTTAATTCTATGTCTAGTAGGAGTTGGGCCGAATACTCGCGGCTTACCCGAGGTTAGAGAGGTACATTGTCGAAGGATAGGATCAGGGGAGGATCTTGGGGGTAAGGTTTCGTTGTCTCATCAGAGCGTTGTCGCCAGTATAAACGGTAGTGTGGTTTTAGTTTCGTCTGGAGTTCGACCGGTTATGGTGACCAGTGGGCGACGATGAGACTCATCGAGACGGGGGGACAAGACAAACAAAATCTATTAAAGAGCGACAAAAGACAAAGTAATTAAATTCTTATACTAGACATTTGAAGAAACACTTAAGCCGACTGCATATAGCAGATATCGCTAGATTCCAACACGTCTCTGATAGGAACATAGGATTGTCTTCCTTGGGCCTTGAGAGTATTCAAAAGTCGCTCTCTGGTGCCGTCATTATCCGTACATAGCCAAACTGCGTGATCGATGTCATCGTAACCGTTTCCACACCGACAGATGTTGCTGTCCACGAGGTTTATTCTATTGAGATGAGCATCTAGAGATTAGTGGTTGGACATAAGTCTACTCATCACGCGAATGAAGTCACGACTTAAGTCCAAGCCTTTAAACCACGCTCTCGAAGAAACATCAGGAATAATTGAATGTAGCCACCGTCTAAGATTTCCATTATCCCAATCGGTTTGCCAGCTTAGATCTTGAAGATATTTTTAGTGTAAGATCCACATTTTGTTTTTAGACCATAATAAACAAACGGAATGACCTTGCACCAACAAAACCTAAAACCAACCAATGGACTTTAACATACAAAAAGAAGAATTTTAATTTAATTCAATTTGATCGCATCCTTCCGAAGCACCAGCCTGACGTCAGACAGTTACGATTTTTGTGGATTTTCAGCTTCTCGATGTTGTCATCTGCACTTTTTGCGATTAACGAGTAAACTGAACTCAAATTTGGGTCGATCTCATTGGCCTTGTATGTTCAGCTTGTTCAGCTTGTTCAGCTACAGGCTCGTGCTCGGCGTTATCTGTTGTCGTAGGCATACCCAGACAACCAGTATGCACGTATATCAAAGTTGTTTCTTTGATATACGAACATATATGCAAGCAAACAAATCGTATAGAATGCTATACAATTGCTTATACATACGTACACAAGACGAGGCCATATACGTGCATATTAGACTGATGCAAAATTTAAAATTTTCACTGCACAGTGCGGTTCCAAATTGGGTCCTGCTTAGCCTCCCAAAATTTGAACTATTTTAGTAAGAAACTGACTTGGCACAGTTTATATGGGAATTACTATGGGAAAACTTATGTTTTTGATCATATCTATCTAACAATTCACCACATCACTATGCTTTTAAAAATGATAGCAGTGATTATATTTTCTCAGCTACAACTTTGTTGAAAACTACTTTTCAATCAAATGGAAGAAACAAAAGTTATTAATGATTCAAGTCACTGATGATGATTATGCTCATTCAACTGTTCAGCAGGCAACATTGGTGTTTCTGGTGCGAAGAATAGAGCACAAATATTATGGCTACTATGTGACACTGCAGAATCCAGTGTTGCCCACAAAACAGCTGCTTGATCATGCCATAAGATTATCAATCTCTTAAACAGTTAATAAAAATTAATAATAAATAATTTGACATTTGGCTGAAAAACAATATTCCGCAAAGTTGTAGCTTAGAAAATTTCCCGTAAGAATAGTTATAGAAATTTTCAAAAAAGCAATATGGAAAATGAGTAAACAACAAAAAGTTTGGTTTACCCATAGTAATTTCCATATAAACTTCGAATAATTTGTGCCAAGTCAGTTTCTTACCAAATGAGTTTGAATTTTGGGAAGCTAATAAGGACCTGCTTTGAAACCGTTTGAGCTCTGTGGAGCGAAAATTTCAAATTTTGCATCAGTCTAGTGCTCATTTTAATTTATTTTTAAACGAGTTAATTTAACATCACATACGATTTAAACTGTTAAAACAAATGTAATTTGAAAAGCATTAGATCGTAATCCGATTTAGCTTGTGATACAGCACGATGAAAAAATGATTCATCGAAAATTTGCATTCTGTACGAATTAACTTAAACATAATGTGATGTAAGTCATTATCATATGCAATGCACAATGCACAAATTGTGATACGACTTTTGGTTGTCTGGGTAACTAGGTTGTTAAGCTGGGGAGGGACATTGCCCTAGCTGACTAGACATAAACCATTGGTAGTATAGGGAGGGGAATTACTTTAGTCTATTACTTTTATTATTTCCTAGTACTAATACCAACTATTTATCGATAAAATGTTCATGGAAAATATTAGTGTATCTTAGTTTTTTTTTTCAGAAGCCTTGAGAAAATGTCATGATTGTTTAACACAAAACCATTTATCCTACGATGACCCGTTTGTGAGTAATGTAATTTTAGTATTACCACATTTTGAAATAATTTTAGTTTTACAAGAATCCCTTTTCACGAGAAAAGTTTAATGTATTTTTGTTATCTTACCCAGGTAACCACCAGGCATTAGAATTTGCAGTATATCAACCTGATATTCGCATTGCAGCTGCTACTTGCTGGATATAAGCATTTTAAATGCATATCTGTTGTAAATCAGCAATTAAAACACACAATAGGGGCAAATCAGCATTGCCAATGCTTCGATGGTAACGAGGCATGGATTTCCGGTTCCTAAACGTCACCCTGATTCCAAAAATACCAAATATTGTGGGGTATTTGACAATATTTTCAAAAACCTCTTTTTACGAAGTAAATCCCAAATAACGAGGTTTTTTTACGAACAAATTCGATTTACGAACCCCCGGTTTGGTTCGTAAATGGAGGTTCCAGTGTTTATAATTTCCTATTCTATACAATTTTCGATTTTTTTTTTTAATCTCCCCATTAATGATCCAAAGAACGGTGGGACAAAAGAAGAATGTGTTTCAGCAATATGTACTTCCATAGAGAAAAAAAAAACATTCTTTACATGATTCAGTTGCACTATTAATAGGAATTATGTTATCACAGTTTCATAGCATTCTACAAGTCTAAATCATGGTCTACAGAACCCTCATAAAACCAAAATTGTTACTTGGGTAGCGTACTTTTTTTCATTATATTAACACTTTAACTTTAACACTAGTGGGTCATTCGTGACTTTTCCGGAGTGAGATTTGAACTCGTGACTTTGGCGTGAGAGGTATGGATGTTAACCACAACGCCGGGGTCATCCCCACTAGGGTGCTTAATTTTGATAAAAGAGATGAATTTCTAATAGGCTACCCTCCAGTTCGATTCACTGTTACGTTTGATTAGCATCTTCCGGCAGTTCCCAATGATCCCCTAATGGTCCATATTATAGTTGATAAGACGTCTACAAATGGTTTCGAAAAAAGCAGTTTCAGGAAATGACCAATTTTTCGGAAATTCCCATTCTTCCGAAAGAGATTCTCAGCTAATATTTGCCAACCACAAAATCGTAACAACTTTAAATCTGGCCAAAAATATAGCAGTTTTCTAGGAATAGTTCCATGAAATGATAACTTCGCAATCGGAATATTTTTTTTACAACCACCATGGTACAAATTATGCTAAATTTTGACCCTTATGCCATCATTTGGCAACTTACAACAAGCACTGCGAAACTGTTGACTTTACAATGGCAAAAACCAAACTAAAACACCACTTCAATTCGTAATGTTAACACGTAAAAATAGAATATTTTTAAGGCAAACACTGCTTTATATATTTCATATGTTTTTTTTTTTTCATATGCATGACTATTAAAAAACAAAGAATGTAATTATTAATGTAACAAAACTGTCTACACATGATTGACGACAATAAATAAATAAAATATCTAAGCGAAATTGTTCCCTCCTACGATCAAAATTTCAAAAGTTACAGTGTCCGGATTAATGTGGATACAGACCTTACAGCTAAAAATTAGATGAGGGGAGCATTTACGCGATGGTTCAAATTCAGCTTTTGATTCTGTACATGGGTTTTTCCAGCTCAAGTGGGTCACCACCACAGTCGATTTCACCGATTTGAGCCAAACTTGGCCAAAACACTTATTTTTGCATTCTGAACAAAGGCCTTTTTTGCTTTTACTCTGAAGTGCCTAGATCCCTCTCGGCTACAACCCTGGGTTTTCTAGATCTTAAAAATTTTATTTTTCAGAAGGGATTAGTCTACAACCAAATGAGCTATTCGTGATCTTAGGACGTCAATTTAAAGGTCTTTCAATGTAGATTCGTATAGGTGTTACCACATTTTGATTTTGTTATAGTAACAACAGTAAATTGGTAGGGTATTGGAATTTGTTGATTACTAATTAACTGCAATGGACAAGGGAAACCAAATAGAAGCTCTTTAAACTGACTTCAGTAAAGCGTTCGATAGACTTGAAGTTCCAATGTTGATTTTAAAATTAGAAAAAAATGGGAATTCAAATGAAACTCCTCACCTGGATTAAGTCATATTTAACGGACCGTCAGCAAATTGTAAGATCCAGCGAGAAAAAAATCTCACCCAATTCAAGTCACGTCAGGAGTTCTACAGGGCTCACACTTCTTTTCATATTGTACGTTAACGACGTATCTCTTATTATGAAAAATCTCAGAATGCTTATTTATGCTGAAGACATTAAACTATTTTTAGAGATAAGAAATGATGATAATATGAATACGTTTCAGAATGAAGTTCATGTTTTTTATACGTGG